TTATTTGTTTTACCTATTTCGCTTACTGTTGCTCAATTTTATTCATTTAGTCTTCTCTTGTCATTTCTTCTCCCCTTCTCTACTGTTACTCTCTTCTTCCTCTTTTCTTTCTTTCTCTTCTTTCTTGATTATCTCTTATACCTTTCTCTCCTTATGTTCACCTATTACCTTCTTCTTTCTTCTTCTACCTTTCTCTATTCTTTCACCTTTTTTTTTCTCATGTTTTTGTCTGTTGTTTTGTTCTTCTGTTTTACTTTTTTCGTTCGTTTTGCCTTTCTGCTTCCTCGTTTCCCATTCTTTTCTTTTTTTATTTGTTTTACCTATTTCGCTTACTGTTGCTCAATTTTATTCATTTAGTCTTCTCTTGTCATTTCTTCTCCCCTTATTGCTCTGTCTCTTGCCTCTTCTTTTCTGCTGTTCCTGCCCTTCTCTCCTTATTACTTATTTTTTTTATTTCTTTCTCACCGTCTCTTGTCTCATTTCCTTTTCCCTTCATTATCTTTGTTCCTCTATATTTCTTTGTTTCTCCTTTCCTTCTCGCTTCCTCTGATTTTGTGTTGTTATTGTTCTTTGCTCTTTTCTTACGTGTCTCCCTTTTGCTTATTGTTCATGCTTGCTTCTTATCCCCTTCTTCTCTGTCATATTTATTCTTTCCTTGTCCTAATTTGTTTCTCGTCTTCTTTGTTGACTATCGCTTCTGTTTCTTCTCACTATTTACTTTACTTATCTTCCTTCTCAGTCCGTTTCTCTCATTATTTTATTCCCTTCCCACGTCTGCTGTGTCCTTAGCCCTTCTCTATTTCCTTCTGTCTTTCTTTTGTTTTGCTAGCCTATCTTTTTCTTTCTGTTCTTTCCCTATTCTTCTACTTTCTCTTTACTATTGCTCTTCTTTCCCTCTTTCATCTTTTCCTTGTGTGCTCCTTTCGTTTCTACTGTCTTATGTCTCTATCTACTCTCCCTGTCTCGCTTTTCCTTTCTTATTACTTTTTCCCATTGCCTTTTTCGCTTAATTCCTGCTGTTCATTTTCCTTTTTCTTCCTTCTTCATCTCTTGCTCTTTCCTTACTTTACTGCTTTCTCTGTTTTTTTTTATTCTCCCATTTACGTATTCTTTTTCCCTCCTTCTTGAGCCCTTTTCTTTCTTCCTTTGCTCCTTTTCTATTCCTCCCGTCTCTTCCCTGCTTTGTTTTATCCTGTTTCTTGCTTCTTTTGTTGTCCTTCTCGGCTTTGTTTTCCTCTTTTTTTCTCTTTTATATTTCTTTTTCTTTTGTCTTGCTTTTTTTATTCATCTTGTCGTTTTTTTTTTTCTTTCTACTTTTATTTTTTTTCCTTGGTCTTTCTTTTTTTATTTGTTTTACCTATTTCGCTTACTGTTGCTCAATTTTATTCATTTATTCTTCTCTCCTCGCTTCTCTCTTATTTGTGTCACTGACTAT